TGACAGTATGCCCTTCTGCTTCTTCCAGGACCCCTACATTAGGCATAAAGCTGCCAATGCGAGGGATGCGATACGAGATGGTTTCTCGAGACATTGCGCAGGTGCTCTCCAACAGCGCAGTTCGCGTCAATATGCACTCCAATACCCTCAGTGACAGCTGGCGAGATATTTTGCAGCCTTCGCTACATTAAGAGTAAATACTCTCACTCACTTTTCTCGCCGTCACAGCACAGCCTCTGTTTATTATGGGGCCATCTGTACCCTACCGACGTAGAGCACGCCGCGATCTCCGACAGCCTCGTTGGCAACCTGCGTGACTCTGCTCGAATGTATTTGCGACAACGCACAATTGAACATCGTCAGCCGACTCACATCTTCTTGCGCCTTCCGGCAACCGAGCTTCAACACTGCCCAGTCATACATAATGTTCCACAACATCGACCAAGTACCGAACCTTGTGGACACGCCTGTGACCGTATTAAGATTGTCCCAGACAACAGTTTTTCATAATAGCGAGCGACCTTCTCATTAAATTAACTTTTTACAAGTTTCGAGACATGTACCTTAACTCCAAGAGTTTGTAGGCCAGAAAGAAGGCAGTCCACCTTCAGCTGTTAAAGGCGTTTCTTCGCACGTCTTAGGCCGTCACTGATAGCACCATACTTTAAGTAGGACCGCCTTCCATCTTGGCCTTCAATGGCGCTTTGCGTGCGATGTCGATGACTCGCCTCTAATGCATCTAACCGCTGATCTCGCTTTTCACGAAGCGTAGTACGATTATCACACAATTGATGGCCTCTGTAAAATGACTCACCATACGATTGGCAGAAAATCGCTCAACACTTTGCCTGATGTGTCCAGTAAGCATATTGGCATCGGCTGCCGGATCGAGTAGTGCCGTGTATCGGCCCTTCGGAAGAGAAGGCTGGGAAGTAGTGTTGCTGCTTCATCGACGGGGACAGTTCCGCCTCTCTATGCATGCAGATATATGCGCGTGGCAAGAATAGATCGCGCGATCTTGATAGGCGGTTCTAATTGCTACATTATGACGCCCATCTGAATCCGGGGGCTTTGCAATCTTGGCACCGATTGCCAAGCTCTGGAGAAGTTCTCACTCCAACGTGGACTGTCCCGGGAACCTCGCTTAGATCTCCAGACATGCCTTCGTGGTGTAACATATCCTACCTGGCGAGGGAAACGAAGGTAGCCTACTTTTCCCAGAGAAACCGGCAATAGTGTGGTGGTCCTGGAACATACCCGAGTCTGGGCGTCACCAGCTGATACGGGCGTCCCCAGGGTCAGCATCCACTCCCTCCCCTAGTAGCGCTTCAGCACAGCGCACACTCTGACTGAATCCTAATGGCTTTTGCTGAAAGCTCTTCGCTGGCTGCCAGATGTTGCTGTCGTCAAAATTTCGTGTTTGGCGCCTCCAGCGACGCTCTGTGCATCTTACGTGTTCCGGTGCATTCCCCTGCGAAGTTCCCGATTTCGTCATTCCCACCAGCTACACTGGAGACAGGCGCGTTCTCTCTTGGAGGCTTTGGTCATGTGCAGCCACTCACAGAAGCGTCAAATAACCCGGTGCATACGGTTTCTACAATGATACAGGAGTCCACGGCGGCAACATATCTTCCAGGGTTGCCTCCATCATGGCAATGAAGGAATCACAGATCGAACGTCTGCTCGGTTTCCAAAACAGCCTTTCCTTCTCCTCTCTTGGTGAGCCGCTCAACATGCCACATGCTCTTACACCTCTGCATAACAATGCTTGGTGGTCACGTATGTGTATCACCATGTGCACCTAACCCCATATACATACGTCTACGCAATGCTTTTTACAGACGCAGAAGTCTATTCAACGACGAGCTCGACCATTTCACTTACAAAAGTCGGACGGCCCCGTGTTCGCAGAGGCCAGACATCAACATTGAACTGTCCCAGAGCGAGTCACCCGCGTCGATTCGTTACTGCTGCTGCCACTCCTCCTGCCGCCCTGCATTGACAGTCCCACAATACTATACACGAGCCTTCTCGTTCTCCTCGCGTCATCTATTAAGGCGATCGAGTACATTCCTCGACATCTCAAGGATGCACTGGTCGCAGCATAGCTACACCTATGAAGTATTACACCGAACCCTTTATGATCCAGGTGAATCCATCCCTTGGACTTGCCATAACAGCCTGGATGGACTATTTAGCACATATCCATACTGCAGCTCGGTAGTCGCATACGAAACCAGGACTGAGACGACAAATATTTTTACTCGCTCGCAAGAGTACTTGCACACATCTATAATCATTCACGCACCGTCTGGGCTGAGAACTGGTCTGGGCGCCTCACAATATTTAAATTAGCTGGAGAACTCTCATTTTCTTTTTCTTTGGCTTGTGCTATGTGCTGTATGTGTATGTTCGATGTTCTGGAGTATCGTGTGTGTATGTATCGGATGTACTACTATGTACTGTATGTACTTGCGCGCGACAAGCCGCGTCAAACGGGGTCCAGGCCTACCGGCGACGTCCTTGCCTCGCGGCCATGTGTAAGGGTACGTGGTGGCTACATGTAGACATCCCCACGCCGTATCCGGGTCTTCTCATCGCTAAGAACTGAATTTTCCTATGCTGCGGTGATCTTAGGCCTGTCGCGGCCTGTCCTCCAATACCCAACAGTGACTCGATCGCCGAGAAGCTACGACTTCATTAATTTTCCTCAATCGCACCACGCAACAAAAACTGTGTCCATTGTAAGGAAAACGCACTTTATAGTCTTGGCTCGACCGGGAATCACATCCGGAGCGCCGTAGCTCGAAAGCGAGCACGTTGAACAAGAGCAGCAGAGCTCCAATTACACCACTTAGTCGACCGTTTTTATAATGCGTGTTGCGGAAACCACAGGTAGGTAGGTTATTGGCGGTAAACCTGTGATATTAAAAGGCAAGAGATTCGCTTCTGACAGACTTTCCTTATCGGCCTGCTCCAAAATCGAAAAAACCGAATTTAAGCATAAATTATTCACTGGGCCGTTTATGTTCTGTGTTCTGGCTTTTTTTTGTGTCGATGGAAGGATCTCTGCGCTAGGAACCTAACGCTTTCTGAAATCATTGCTCGCCATTATCAGGTACATATTATTTCTCAGAGAAATGCTCGTCGCATCCTGTAACACGGAAGCAGCTCTTCTACTAAACCTTGTGTTTACTTCACATTGCCAAGAATTTAATCCAGCTGAAGTTTATTGCCGAAACATTAATGTTATTAAGACACATTCCAGTATCTCAACTCACATTCTTACTGCGTGCATGTCTTGTAAAATTAATGCCAGTTCGCTCTGCTCCAAAAATCTTCAACGGAAGTAAAGGCACTTTATCTTACCACAAAACCATTCCATGTATGATATTTTTTCATGTCAAGAAAAAATCAATTAATACCTATCAATAATACTAAAACTAAAAATACCATTACAATACCAAAACTTCCTCACTAAATTATAGATTCATCTCTTCGCGAAAGCCACATTAATCCAATTCAATACTGCGGGTTGCGGGCCCCGCTGTGTCTTTAGAAGATTTTCCCCTGCCCACGTAAAAAAAACACACACATACACACACATACACACACACACATACACACACATACATACACACACATACATACGTACGTGTGTCAAAACCAAATCTTATTATCTCTTTCATATATCGTGCAACGAAGCCAACCCATTATTACGAGAGATGCTGAGTAAACCGCGCCCTCACCAAAGCGAACGCGTCTGCTTAATCGAGGTGCAACTTCCGGGCGTCAACGTCCTTGAAGATGAACTCGACGGAAATCGGGTACCCCATAATATTGTTTTGTCATTGCATTTAACATTTCGTCACCCTCTTCTTGCAAAGAACTACAAACATTTTGCGACACAAAAATAAAAACATCATCATGAAAGCAAAGAAATGAAGGTGTAAGTAAAAATATCACCAGTCACAAATTTGAGTTTTGCAACTTGAGCAAACTATAAAATGCACTCTGATGAAGTCTCTTCGCTTTCAATATTACAGGTTTCCCTCCACATTGGTCCACTTATGTGTGTTCAGCAGACAAATGAGCCACATATCAAAACTTCATCATTAGTGTGATTTACAACTACATTTCACTACTCCTTTCAAACACCGTACTTTGAAGTCAATTAAATGGTGACGGTGATAACAATTGACTATCAAAACGGACAATTCATCATGCCTAAGAAACCATTCAAACATTGGTCCTCTCGGTAGCTGTAAGTGGGCGAAAAAACTAGGATACCCGGTATCTGTACCTCGTTGTCCGGAAGACGGCTCGTCCTAGTCACAGATGCCAACGTTTCGGCCGTCATTCAGCGACCTTCTTCAGGGCAAAATGCCGAGAAAGATCGCATATTTATGCCGAAAAAGTGGCATCTGCGTCTAGGACGCGCCATCCCCCAGGCAGCCGAGCAGATACTGATACCGACCGCGAAAGTCTGTGCTTTCAGGACAGCCGGCTTCTGTTGCTTAGCGGGTCTGACGGGGGTGACATTTCTTTGGACAATTTGAATAAAGCCAACCCATTGCGGCGGCGATGGTGTAACGGTTAGCGTACCGGACTGTTATACCCAAGTTCAAACCCGATCCAACCTGTGGATTTTAAAGGGCGAAAGAATCCTTCGTGCGCTTTCCTTCGGAGGGGAAGTAAAGCCCACTGTCCCATTTTAGTATATTTATTGCATGTGAAAGATGCTCAAGCCTAAATGACGCCTCTGAGCTAAATTCAAATCGCCTGTTTCGTCTCTCAAGAATTACCTCCATTCTCTGCTAGTTGGTGAAAGGAGCGTAGCGAAATGTACGTGGTCAGACGGAAGAGCGGGCCTGATGGCCCGGGTCTCGCCACGTAAAAAACAAGGCACAAATTCAATTCAATTGCCCCACGCGAGGAAGAGTGTGTACTCACTCGAGGTGCGTCTTCTGCACGTCGAAGTCCTTGAAGGTGAGCTCGACGATCTCGCCGGCAGCGGCCAGGAAGGTGTAGAGCAGGCAGCCCACGCCGTCCGGGTAGGGGCGCGGGTAGTCGGGGCTGGAGAAGGTGCCGTACTGCTTGCCGAACGTGCCCGTGAACAGCAGGCACTCGCACCCTGCGGACACGCGCGCGCCTTCTTCAGATGCGCCGCTCACGGCCAACCGCCACTCATTTCCTTGCATTAGCGCGCGCTCGCGGGGCGCGCATTAAAGTGGATGCAGATGGCGTGCATTCGAAGTAACTCGCTTATTGGGATGTTACGTGCGTTGCGGGTGTAAAACATGCATTATTTGAAGAAGGGTTGTATGCAGGATGCAACATAATTTATTGTTCTAGTTGTTATTGTTATAATTATTATTATTATTATTTTATTTTTCTTCAATACATTTTTAAAAATTTATATAGGTTTATTTATTTTATTCATTTATTTGAATATCAAATATGAATATCAATGTCTTTTTCTCTTTCGCGCGTTTAATTATTTTTCATTTATTCCGACAATGAAAGTTATGTTTATTACGTTTAATACAAATTTCATCAATACAAATCATTATTCAGGCATCCTATATAGAAATGCCAATTACGATGTGAATATATAATTCTACTTTACCTTGTTGCGATTAAAGTACGTGGTATTGCGTAACTCAGACTATGCTTCTATTTATTATTTAAGCAGATATTTCTTCTATTGCACGTCAAACAATATTAGAGTAAATTTTTATTCTTATAGATATATTATTTAACGTAGTATACAATCGTAAGTTTAACATAATGAGAATACGGTATGATTCAGTGTTGAAAATATGCCCCGTTTTCTTTATTGTTCCGTACTAAAGTTAATATACTCATACAATTACTTACAGAGTATGTCTACTAAGAATTAACAGACACTATACAAGAACTCCATTGATTACACTGGTCAACACACATTTTGGTGCCCCAGATATTAAACTTCTATGTGGGTATTTCGAAGTCACTGATTCCAAAACTACATTAGTTTTGCATAATCAGCTCTATTTTTCTAAATATAGAATTCATTATATATTCATATAGTTTTGTAAATATAATATTCATCATATATCCTACTGTGACGTCATGGATACTCACAGCGACCACAGACACAGAGCTTTCGTATAACAAATATATTTATTAACAAGAAAACAAAACAAATATATACACTTAATAATCTACTTACACCCTAGCTCTGATAGACCTACTATCCCCTGATCGCGGGAGCGATCCAAACCGGATTGAAGATGGTTTTGATTGTGGCATTCGCCACTCCTACTTTTGAAGCGCGCACAAAGCCTAGCTTCCGTGACCGGATGTCACGCTGGGACACAAAGTCCGTTCTGGCGCACCAACGGCTGGTTTGCCTCGATCGCAGGAGCGATCTTATCCGATTGAGAATCGGCGTGAATCGTGGCACTCAACCACTCTTCACCTCGGAGCACGCACACAGCATCGCTTCCCCGTGACCGCAGTCACCAAAGGACATAGAGTCCGCAGGCTTCGTCAACTAATGACTCCAGCCTCGCGAGCGTGGCTCGCATATGCACCGTCTTGGCGCCAAGTTTTGTGCACATGCACGAGGTTCTCTCACCGTCTCCAGAACCCACCAACTGGCTCCGTACACTCTGTTATATAGGCGAGGCCCACGTAACCTACTACGTCACGCCACCCCCTCGCTTGTTATAACAGTGAAAAGCTTCTATAAGCCGGAAACTCCCAAAGCCTTGTGTCTCCCGTTTCCGCGTTCTTCCCTTTACGGAAAAAAACCTTCTTCCTGTGGCAAGGCTAATCCTGCCAAGCGTCCCCAAATAGATGCCACGAGGCACGCTGGCTAATACGTTACACTACTTCGACACTGTGTGTGCTAGAATTTGGAGAAATCAATGGAGTGTAGACATAAAATATTTACTTTACTGGTGTTAATTTGTTGTGAAATAATATATCATTTATAAAAACAAATTTAGGTTAAGTAAGTAATTGTAAATCACATAATTTTTCAAATGTTTTGATAAAATAGATATTTCCATATCTATCTAATCGAAATCGATGCCTTGCGAATTTAAAATGATCGTCTTAATTATTTTTTTGGGGAGGGGGCTTTATATCACTTAAATGTCTCCAATTTCATTTCAAGAATTGCTCCAAATTTATTGATTTATTTTTTGGTTAGAGCGAAGACTTTATTTAAAAATGGCGCCGATATCATTTTCGTTGAACAATGAATTTTTAAAAATTGCAAAAGTTAACAATATTTTTCGGCGTTTGCCTAATAGAAGTATTAAAAATAGAGATTTTATTCTGAATGAAATCTAAAAAATAAATCTTTAAATAATACCACGTACGGTTTCTAGAAAAGATAGGTAGTTTTGCTACAGTTTTACGTGAAATTTAGGTATTATGTAAAAAGTAATTTTTTCAAAAATAGTTCTAATACTTGTTTTACATTATTTTTTTCTAGAATGGAGTAAGATGTTGTTATGAAAATGGTGCAAGTCCAATTTTCGGTGAACTCTTTATTTTCGATAATTGGAAATATTTAAAATTGCAAAACTACAATAGTGACGATGGAGATTTTTTCTTTCGCGAAATCTGTTCTAAATAATTATATCTTTACATTAATTCACGTTCATTTGTTTTTAGAAAAAATAGTAATTTGGGGTAATATTTGCTTACAGTAATGGCAATTTATATTTAAAAAATTTATCAAAAAAGGGCTTCAAATTTGTTCTTTAATTTTCTTCACTGAACAGAGCGAAGAAAGTCGGGCAAGTTTAATTTTCGTTAACCTCAATTATTGAAATTTGCCAAAGTTACAAATAATGCCAGAAATCTGGTTACTAATTCAAATATTCAAAGACCCTTGGCGACGTTCTCTCCGTTCTGTAAAGCCCGCCATTCCTTATCACCCTGAAGAACCTGCGCGCGCGCCCGCCTTCTGTTCCCGTGGCGTATCGGAGTTGGCCCGCGCAGCGCCGACGCCCCCCCCCCCCCGGCGCGCAGCTTGATCGGGGGCGGAGGTCGCAGGCGATCTGCGAGCGTCAACAGCGCGCGTCGGCGACGGCAGCTCCGCCGCAAAGTACATGGACGGGCTGCTGAGCAAACAGGGCTTCCCCGCCCAGGCGGAGAAGCCGGCGCGTGGACGGGCGGGGCCTCAAGGGGCCGCGGGCGAAGGCACTGGGGCAGCTAGCTTTCGCGCCATGCGAAGGTAGCGATGGTTATGCCTGGACCTTGATGTTACGTCTCGCAAGTCAATGAGTATTTACAGTTTCAGGATGGGGACTATAGACAGTAGTCCCGTGACTGGAAGGCTTGTTTTAATCCGGGATGTGGCGGTGTTCCTCCCCTGATATAATGGGATACCCGGTAAGACAGTTGCAAGATTTTCGCCTCCAGGTATCTCCCACAGCGGGCCGCAGCCCCAGCTGAGAAAGCTCTGGTCTTCCGACATATTAGGTAGTAGGGTACGTGTTTATACTGGGAGAGGAGACGACAATGAAAAAGGAAAGATCGCGTGGGGTCTGTGACCCATGTGTTATGTCATGCAAGTGAATGATCGCGTGCTGGTACTGCTCCAGCATTTATTTTGTTTTGATTGCAAATTCCGATCAGAGTAAACAGCTTTTATAATTCTCTTATATGTAGTAACTGCATTCGACCTAGCTAAGTAGCAAGAAACGGAAATTCTCCACATTTGAGACACGAACACACGGACTCCTGCTCAGCGACGCAGCAGTGGATGTCGTCACTGAGAAAACCTACATAGAAAAAACGCTTAAACTACAACTTGTTGCATCATAAATAATGCACGCCTAGAAAAAGGTTTAAATGTTTCTTTTATTGCCATGAAAACACACTGTCAACATTGATAAACATTCTATGAACATTGTTATTTACGGTTAAACAACGTCGCTAGTCACGTAATCAGTAGAGTTTAAGAACGTATCTCTACGCTAGACCCTTAAACTATAGTAACCAAAGGAAGATTAACATACTCCTATTTTTTCGTTTTTGATAGCGATACTCGTGTTCAGAGAGTACTCTGTGTTCATTAAAAGGATGTCTGAACATTTCAAGCGTCTAAACAATTTGGATATTTAGTTTTTTTCTAGTTTTTAAATACTATTACTTTAAAATCAGCCTCCTAAAATTCCACGACATATAATCTATATTAAAGGCACTTTTTAATACGAGACATTTTCACCAAAATACAGAGTCAACCTTTCGATGGCAGTAATTCTCCAAAAAGGTGACATTATCAACATTATTCTCCGAACACCCAATTTTCTAAAAACGATGTATTAATATCAACAAGACAAGCATCCCCTGAAGTTGAAACGAACAAAACCGAAGGGTATTTTGCTGTTCTCTTCTAAATCTCAGAAGGTGCTGCAGTGAAAATAGTTTTTTCCTACCAATAGTCTTGTACTTGACTTAGTATCCGGTCCAGGAAAAAATACCAGACCATTTATCCTTGTGTACGTACGTTAGCTCATTTTCCGCCGAAGGCAATCATAGCAGATTAATTTCCCATTTTAATGCAAACTCAGTTGTGTATTAATGCAATAATATGAATTTCCTGCCCAATAGTAATTACTGTGCATTGCATTGATGAAGAATTGCTTGATGATCCTTTGTCAAGAGCCTAGCACAGCCCTGTCCCCTGCAGCGCTTTGCGTGGCAGTTAGATAGAACCACTTGGTGCTGCCCTGCTGTTGGAGATGCCACACACCGATCAGCTGGCGAATGTCTGTATGCGCTCTCGGGTAGAGTTCTGGTGTCTATAGTCTGCAGGAACTGCTGGCCAGGAAAAGCTTGGGAAAAGTTAGGAGCGAGCTGTAATTGAGACTGTCTTCACAGCGAGAATGCCGATAGTGTGGATTTTGACCGCAGATTCTCTGGTTGTCGAGTCATGTTTAAAACTTTTTACGCAACCAGCTATTTTTTATGATGCTATCCCAATTACAATGCAGACCATGTAAAGTAAATAAGGATACGCTTGCAACAGAAGACTGTTGTAAATAGTACTTACTTCGAAATTATGCTTGTTCTTGATGTGGCTACGCGCGTACAAATCCATAATGCCATGTAGGAGTTAATTTTATT